GTCAGTGGGACATCGTCTAATCCACAGCCCATCCTACAACAGGACCTCACCTAATCCAGAGCCCATCTTGCACTAGGGCCTCATCTAAACCAGAGCCCATTCTATAGTCAGACCTCTCAGTCTCTAGACCATTTATAGCAGGTTTTCAACTAATCCAGAGCTCATCTTATAATGGGCCTTTCATTATTCTGATGGTGAAGGAGCTGTAAGAGGAAATGGTTTGCAAGTGACCAAATTCAACCTAAAACTTGCAAAAACAAATCAGCCAACCAAGAGAGAACAATAAAACAAAAACTTCAGGAAGGATGTTGCACTTGTGTAAAACACAAGAGCAAAGGAGGGTATACGTGTGTCCACAGAAGATGCATCTACTCCCTCTGTAATTCTGGCTGTCCACCTCCAGCCAGAATTACAACTGGGAAAGAAGCCTTCCCTTGTGTAAATGTATTACATTATAATTTAAAAAATTAAATTAAAAAAAATTCAGTGAGACTCTTTCTGGAAGGTTGTCACACAGGACCAGATGGGTGCAATGTGATCAAGTCATCTGAAGTGTGTAGACAAATGAATCATAGATTCTATCAGTCAAAACTGCCCAAGAGCCAGGGGCAGCAACAGAATCCTTGGGGAGAACATGTCCTCAGATCTGATTCTAATCATCTGAGAAACAGGAAATCTAATTCATCTTGGTCAATAAGAAGAGACCTACATATCCTCAGGGACAGCTGGCCCTAGATTTGAGAAGATGATCTGTTAGCACAGGGCTCTGAAAGGCCATGTTGGTGTGGCCTTGCCCAGAAATTCCATCTCCACCAGTGACTCTGGGAAAAGATCTTGCTGGCTCCACCTCACAGCTCAGCTGCCATGACCCTTGTACACATCACCTGAAAAGCCCCACAGTCTGTGGCTTTTCTCTAATGAAAAGTATCTACTGTTGAATACATCCACTTTCTTCTATGGGGAAACACCCTAGATGAAGAGTATACAGCCTTGGATTCAAATCCATTACACAAATTGTGTGATCCTGGAAGTCACTCATCTGGTCTAAGCCTCAAGTTCTATCCATAAAATGCAAGTCATGAACTCTCCCTAGGCTATGAGGGAGTTAAGTGAAATAAGCACAGCATATGCCCAATGTTGAGTTGAGTAAATTTTCATGACTCCAAGCACATGAATGGCAGAAGGATCTCCTCTCCCCTCTGTTACCCTGGTCTTGCTTATTCTACTTGGACAAGAGCCCTTGACTGGTTTGGCTCACATTATGCAATTATAGTCATGATAGAAGCTGTCTAAAAGGTCATGTTCTCTCTTGCACATTTAAATGGCCAAAAAGTAGCCGCGGGTGACTCTGTGGCTGACCTTGGTTCTTTCCATGGCAGACATACAGTGGCTCCCACCTCCAAGGCTGTCCCATACCACACTCAAATTTACTAATAATAGTCAGTTTCAATAATGCAGTGGTGATTTCTTTAAAACTGAGTAAAATTAAAAAGAGCTATCCATCTCTTTTCTTCCTCAAACTAAATAAATTGTTGTTCTCTGATTACACTATCAGATAGTTCCAAATTTCTCTTTTGCTCAACCTTTCCTCATTTGAAATTGGTGAAAATTTAGCTATCTAATTGAAAGCCTATACACAGGGCCTGCCAGTCCATTTCTAAGGATTAAGTCTGTGGCTGTGGGCTATCAGAAACATTTGAGGACATTTTGATAAGATTTCATTCCCTGTCCTGTGCTCCCCTGTCTGGGTTCTGTGGAGAATACCAAAGGCATCAGAACTAAAGCAATGATTTAAATCAGGGGTCCCAGACCCCCTGGGGCCACAGACCAGTACTAATCTATGGCCTGTTAAGAACTGGGCTGCACAGCAGGAGGAAAGCAACAAGCAAGTGAGCTAAGCTTCTTCTGTATTAACAGCCACTCCCATTGCTCACACTCCTGCCTGAGCTCCACCACCCGTCAGATCAGTGGCAGCACTAGATTCTCAAAGGAGCACAAACCCTACTGTGAACTGCTCATGCAAAGGATCTGGGTTGTGGACTCCTTATGAGATTCTGAGGTGGAGCTGAGGCAGAGATGCTAGCTTTGGGGAGTGGCTGCAAATACAGATTATCAGCAGCAGAAAGGTTTGACTGCACAGATACAATAATAAATCAATTGCTTGCAGACTCATATCAAAACCCTATCAGTGAGTGGCAAGTGGCAATTAAGCCTCATCTGTTGGCAGGCTATAACATCATCCTCCCTCATTCCCCCCCACAGGCCATGGAAAAATTGTCTTCCATAAAACTGGTCCCTGATTTAAATAAGGTTGGGGACCACTGATTTAAATAATCCTGCTGTCATTTGATGGCCGCTCAGTTCCCATAGCCTTGTTACCCACCACTTCACCCTTAGTGCTCCTCTGAGAGTTCCCAGAACTGGCTTAGGAGGCAGCACTCCCACCCAGCACTTGCGTGAACTGGAGCATTTCTAGGAGATACACAGAATGGGGATTCTCTAATCTCATTAGATTATTAACTGTCTCAAACATCATGCCCCTCAAGGATAGGTTCATTATATATCAACAACCCACATTCACAATTAAGCAGCCAAGCTGAGGACCAGTTTCCTCTCCTTTTTCAGGGGGATAAGGCACCTGCTCTACTTCTGGTAGTAGTATTATTGTTTCGTTTGCCTTGTTAAAAGTAGCTCAAAGACTTCCGCCAAGATGGAGGCGTAGGTGGAAGCACTGTGCCTTCTCGCACAACCAAGTTTAAAAATAACAAAGTTTTAGCAACAAAAACACAGCCAAACCACAGAAAATTGAACTATACGGAAGTCTGACAACAATGAACCATTCAGCGAAACTGGTAAGAGGGGCAGAGCCAGCAGCAGAGTGGGGTCAGGCAGGAAAGATCCACCGGACCTACCCGGGTGTGTGACCCAGGCTCACTGGCAGCCATGGGCGGATCTCAGGTGTGGAGTAGCGGGTGGACCCACTGAGGGCGCAAGGTGGCAGACCCACTGAGGGTGGACCACAGTCACACATTTGTGCACAGATAAACCAGTGAAAGAGCGAGCGGTGAGACAGACTGTGCAGGCCCCAGTGGTGGAAAGTGGCAGAGGGAACTGCCATTGTCCCTCTCTGACCCCGCTCCCACATACAGCATCACAAATCAGCAACCTGGGTGGCCCAGTCCTGGTGAACATCTAAGGTTCTGCTCCTCACACATAACAGGCATGGACAGATCAAAACATGGCTCAAGAACAACTCGGAGTCCCAGAGCCAATAAATCTAAGCAATGAAGAAATAGCCAGACTTTCAGATGCACAGTTCAAAACACTGGTGATCAGGATCCTCACAGAACTGGTTGATTTTAGTCACAAATGGAGGAACATATGAAGGCTAAACTAATTGAAATGAACGGTAATGCACAGGAAATCAATAATAATGGAAAGGAAACTGGAACTCCAATCAAAGGAGTGGACCAGAAAGAGGAAAAAAATGACCAAACAGAAAAGGATGAAGAAACAAGAATTCAAAAAAAGGAGGAGAGGCTTAGGAACCTTCAGGACATCTTTAAATGTTCCAACATCCGAATTATAGGGGTACCAGAAGGAGAAGGAGAAGAGCAACAAGTGGAAAACTTATTTGAACAAATAATAAAAGAGAATTCCCCCAATCTGGCAAAGGAAATAGACTTCCAGGAAATCCAGGAAGCTCAGAGAATCCCAAAGAAGTTGGACCCAAGAAGGAACACACCAAGGCACATCAGAATTACATTAGTCAAGATTAAAATGAGGAGAGAATTCTAGAAAGCAGCAAGAGATAAGGGGACAGTCACCTACAGAGGAGCTCCCATCAGACTGTCAGCGGATTTCTCAAAAGAGACCTTACAGACCAGAAGGGGCTGGAAAGAAGTATTGCAAGTCATGAAATCCAAAGACCTACATCCAAGATTGCTCTATCCAGCAAAGCTTTCATTTATAATGAAAGGGCAGATAAAGTGCTTCTCAGATAAGACCAAATTCAAGGAGTTCATCATCATCAAGCCCTTAATATATGAAATGTTAAAGGGACTTATCTAAGAAAAAGAAGGTAAAAAAGATGAACAGTGAAAGGACAGCAAACTCACAGTTATTAAGAACCACACCTAAAACAAAAGCAAACTAAGAGGACAGCTAGATCAGGAGCAGAACCATAGAAATGAAGATCACATGGATGGTTAGTAACAGGGAAGTGGGAGAAGGAGAAGGGAAGAGAAAGTACAGAAAATAAGTAGCATAGATGGTAGGTAGAAAATAGATAGGGGGAGGGCAAGAATAGTATGGGAAATATAGAATCTAAAGAACTTGAGATACGTGGTCATAAACTAAAGGGGGGAATGTTGGGGGAGGGGTGTGCAGAGTGGAGGGGAATGAAGGGGGAAATAGAACAATTGTAATGGCATAATCAATGAAATATATTTTTTAAAAAAAAGTAGCTCAAATCCCCAGGACCAAGAGGTGAACAAGTGTGCCATATGTAACATTACAACCAGAAAAACAAAATGATGGCTGAGTTAGAATCAGAGGGGAAAGCACTTTGGGGTGGAGGAGAGCTACAGTGAACAAGACTCTATGTTGCAATTACAAGTAGCCTGCAATTCCACTTACTGTGTACTTTTGGCTAAAATTGGCAAATATTCAGTGAAAATCAGCTTGAGCCTTGCATGTGACTTATTAACAAAGGTTACTTTGCTGGGATCCTAACACTAGTAACCCTTTCTTCCTTTTAATGTTCACCAATAAAACATGCACACACAGGAAATCACTTTTCCTTTATCTTTGGGGAAAAAGATCACCTGATTTAGAAATTATAGAGAACCTCAGTGGCAATAATGTTCAAAATTTGTCCAAACCTTAACATAGTAGTGTGTTAAGTACAAGAATGGACTTTGGCCTCTTTCCAGATTCTAGCTATAAATGGAGGTCCCAGGGAAGGCGTAGGAGTTTCACAGAATCAGAAGTCCATTTACCTTGAATGTTGTTGCAGACTCAGGATTGGCCAGAACCAGAGGTGAAATGAGAACCATGCCTGAGAAGTGGCCTGGCTTCTCTGCAGCTGTGAGGATGGCAATGGCACCTCCCTGCAATGCAAAATGGGCAGAGTTGCTGTGTGCTGGCTTCAACCAGCACATGTTTTCCCATGAGCTCCATGAATGAGGTCTTCCCAAGCCTGGCCAAGGAGCCCAGAGGAAGTCCACCTTGGAATAGGCACCATTGATTGTTTGATAAACTGGGTCTGCAATTATTTTATTTCACTTTTTTTTTTCCCAAGAGCAAACATTTCAGAGAGGTACAAATAAGGTTCCTGCTTGTGGGCTGTAAATTAAACAACACATTCCTACTTTGCTTTAAACCAAAAGCTGGCAGACATCCAATTGATCCATTCTCTTAGGCTTAATAGAAGGGTATTCTCTTTCTTTTCTTTTCTTCCTTTCTTTCTTTCTTTCTTTCTTTCTTTCTTTCTTTCTTTCTTTCTTTCTTTCTTTCTTTCTTTCTTTCTTTCTTTCTTTCTTTCTTCCTTCCTTCCTTCCTTCCTTCCTTCCTTCCTTCCTTCCTTCCTTCCTTCTTTTTTTATAATCTGATGATAATAAGAGATTGCTACACTTTTCCCCCTGGCTCAGAAAGGGTTCAAGATAAATATTTAGTGAATGTGGATGGTGCTGAAGGTCTGAGACCTTGACTGTTTGCTGAAGCTGCAGGTAATTTGAACCAAGGGTGGAAAGGGCAAATGCTTACAGGGGCCAGGCAGGTCAGAGAAATGCAGGTACAGAGCTGGGCTGTGGTAAAGGGGGTGGCAGCTCTGTCCTAGAGTGAAAAGTTTCCCAAAATTCAAAATCAGGCAGTTCAAATTTTCTGTCGGCCAACATGTCAGGCCGTCAGAGGAAGATTTGCCCTGGGCACTGCAAGTTTGAGAACTCCCAATTTAAAGATTATACTTGGTTAATTCTTACAGGGTTTTATAAATTTAAAAGGTGAAAAGAATTCTGAATGACCATTAATTGAGTCCATGGGGAGCCTTTGTCCCTAGTTCCCATTTGTACTGTATGGCTCTGAAGCAAGTAGGAAGGACTGAAGCACCGTCCCATCTCTGAGAAGTGGCTCTGCAGGGAGCAGAAGTACCCTTGAGAGCATCACTATGAAATGGCTCTGAGGTGGAAACAGGGTTAAAAAAAAGATAGTTTCCCAAGATGCCACATACCTGACCTCCTCATTAAGGACTGGCTGGCCACCTCCTGGTGCCTTGGGCCCTGGTGGGAAGTAATGGGCTTCTCTGAGCTATTTCTGGGGCTGTTTCCAGGACTCTGAACCTAACCTGTTTCCTAAGCACCAAATAGCCTGGGAACTCCAAGTGCAGGGCCCACAGGGTGGGGTATGCCAGCCAAGTGGGAAGAGCAGATGAGGTAGGGAGGCAGGGCTGCCCTTTCTTCATGACAGTGTTCTCACACTGCCTACTCACCACAGGCCTGATTTGGACTGGATCTTCTATGGTCAACTTACCATGGAGTGGCCCAGAAGGAAGACAGGAAGCCCTGGGTAGTCTTTCTGCATGATGTCCACATGCTGTAACACATCTCTGATGAAAACATGGAAGTCGGACACTACCATCCTCTCCCCTTCGCTCTGTCCATGGCCAACTGGAAGGGAATGGGAGATGAGAGAACTGCAGTAACTAGGAGGTTGATTCTTGCTAAAGCTCAGTGGTTTCTTCACCAGAATTACCAGCCACTCTTTTCTGAGAACCCGAATGGGTCATTTCATTGAACCCTTTCTAACCACTATTGGACATGGGAATTAATCTCCCCTCATTGTGCGGATTAGGAAGTTGAGGCTCAGGGTGGTTAGTGTTACAGGGTGCAGCCAAGAGGGGGGCCCCAAATAGAGATTTGGAATGGGATCCAGAACTCAAGGTGTCCAGGAAATATTAGAATGATATATAGGATGTCCTCACCCCTTCCACCCACAGGTGTGAGTTGGGGGAAGGGACACATGGAGCAGGAACAGGCAGAGCTGTTTTGTACAGCCACAGCTTTGCAGCTAACCTCTGGCATGGTCATTTTGTAACAGGGTGCAGCCAAGAGGGGGGCCCCAAAAAAGGATTTGGGATGGCATCCAGAGTTCAAGGTATCCAGGAAATATTAAGATGTCCTCACCTCCCCAGGGGGAAGAAACAAATGGAACCAGGGCCATTGAGAGCTGTTTTGCATAGCAACAGTTTTGCAGCTAACCTCTGGAATGATTATTTAACATATCTATAACCTTTAACTGGTTTCATAGATATGTTAAATAGCTGTAGCCAAGTTTTAAGCCAGGGAGAAGGGAGTGGCTTCTACCCAGGATGTAACTAGGGACAGGTCCCCAGATTACAGCGCCTGCGTGAGAGCTTGGAATTGATTGGCTCCATGCCATGGGGCCATATCTGCCCAGACTAATGATGGCAGCCCAGTAAAGCTGAGAAAGTATGAGAGTCCTGGCTGGTGTAACTGATTGTAGGAGGAGTCGGAAATGGGGCCGCAAAGGAGGATGGGGGTGGAGATTTAAACCCAGATGCAGCAGCCATTGAGGGAGAGAGCCATGAGGTTCCAGCAGAGTTAAGACCCTCTCTTGCCAAGGTGAAGAGGAGAGAGAACCATGCAGTTTTGGCCAGAGTGCAGACCCCTGCAGCCATTTAAGAGAGCCACAAGGTTTCAGCAGAGTAAGGATCCCCTCTTGGTGAGGTGGAGAGGAGAGCCACACTGTTTTGGAAGAGTGCAGACCCCTGCACCCAGGTGAAGAAGAAAGACACATGCCTTTGTTAGAGTGTGGACCCCTGCAGCTTTGGTAGAAGAGGCCAAGGTGGCTTTGGGGTGCCCCCTTTGTCTGCGTGGCCTGGGCAGCAGGAGATACTTTGACTGGAAAAATGGGTACAAAGAACTCTTGCCAGTGGACCATGAAAAGGTGCCATGTGACTGTGGATTAACTAGAGATCCTGCCTGACACAGCTGATGATACCAGTGGCCTGGAAAAATGGATGTGTACTCCTTTCCTGATTTATGGTACCCAGAGTTGGGACAGTGGGAGAAGGGAGAGCTGTGTGTGTGTGTAGGTATATACGCTAAAGGACTTTGATATTTTAGTGGAGGCGTTAGGCCTAAATAGCATTAAATAAACATTTTGTTTCCTTTTCACAAATCTCTGGCATTGAGAGATGTCTTTCCAATTGGTGGAAGACAGAAGAACCCAGTAGATATTAGTACTCCATCCTTGGGAGGGGCCCCTGTTGTTCTGTAACAATTCTTGGTGTCCCTAGGTGGGCCAAATATTGCCCCCCCTTGGACCTCTTGTTCCGTAACAATTTAACGTATCTATAACCTTCAACTGGCTGCATAGATATGTTAAATAGCTGTGGCCATGCTATGAGCCAAGGGGATGAAAGGAACTCCCCCCCAAGATGTAACTGAGGGCAGGTCTCCCAGGTGACAGCACCTGCACAAGAGCTTGGAGATGATTGGCTCCACAACATGGGGCCACACCTGCCCAGACTCACTATGGCAGCCCAGGAAAGCTGGAAGAATATGGGTGTGCTGGCAAGCGTAGCCAATTATAGGAGGAGTAGAAATGGGGCTGCAGAGGAAGATTGGGAGGGGATTTAAACCCAGACTTGGCAGCCACTGGAGGAAGAATCATGTGCTTATGGCAGAGTGGGGACCTCCACAGGCATGTGAGAAGGGAGAGCCACTCACAGCTTTGGGAGAGAGGAACAAATGGCTGTGGCAATGCAGAGAGAGCCACGCACTTTTGGCTAGAGTGGGTACCCCTGCAACTTGGGTGGAGAAAATCACCATGCAGCTTTGGCAGAGGGGCAACCCCCCACCTCCCCACAGCTTTGGTGGAGAGAAGAGGACCATGCAGCTTTGGGGTGCTCCCTTTGGCCACATGGCCTGGGAAGCAGGAGAGATTTTGCCTGGAAGAAGGGTGAAAGAACTCTTGCCAGTAGGCCATGAGAAGGTGCCACATGGCTTTGGATTAATTGGAGATCCTGACTACATGGCGACACAGCCAATGGTGCCAGCAACCTGAATCACGGACACTTGCTTCTTTTCCAGAGTTACAGTACCCCAAATTAGGGCAGGGGGAGAAGGAAGCACTGTGGGCAACTGTGGGTCTCCAAAAAGGACTTTGATATTTTAATGAAGATGTTAGGTAACTACTTTAAGCCTGTATAGCATTAAATAAACATTTCCTTTCCTTTTCACAAATCTCTGGCATTGAGAGATGTATTTCCTCTGGTGGCAGACACAACGAACCTAGCAGGGGATCCTTTCAGTAAATAGTATATCGTGACCCCCCCCCCCAGCTTTGTGTGTGTTTGTGTGGGTGTGTTCTGTAACAGTTTTTGGCATCCTTGGGTGGACCAATAATTGCTCCCCCGGGTCTGTTCTGTAACATTAGAAACTTGCCCAAGATCACAGTCAGGAAGTGAACCATACAGCACACCCTGTCCACAAAGCCAGGATGTCTTCCCTGTGGCTGTTTCCAAGGAAGAAACCAAGGCAGATATAAGGAGAAGCTTACTAAACCTGATTTTCTGCAAAGTGGTCAGGAGTAAGACACGAGGCTCAAATTTTCCTAGTTCCTTGATCCTCACAGTTGTGTTCTAATGTTAGCCTTTTACCAGATAAAGTGTCATTTCTTTTTACAGAAGACATGGCAAACAGAAAAATAGTCAAGTGTGCTCACTAGAAATTGTCTCAACAAAGCAAAAAAAAAAAAAAAAGGTCCAGTTCTAGCCCCCTGGAATTTTATTGGTTGGGCCAAAAAGTACATATGATATTTTCTGTAAAATAAAAGGCACATTTTTTGGACTTCCACCAAGATGGAGGCATAGGTGGAAATACCTTGCGTCTGCGCACAACCAAATCTAAAAACAATAAAGTTTAAACAACAATAAACGCAATCGAACCACACAGAAAATCGACAATACGGAGTCCGAAAACAACGAAATGCTCAGCTAAACCGGGAAGAGGGGCAAAGCCAGCAGCAGAGTGGGTTGGCCAAAAAGTTCCCCAACTGGGGTGGTGCACAGGCAGCCAAAGGTGTGGATCCCAGGTGTGGGCTAGCTAGGGGCGGACACAGGGAAGAGGCATGGCTGGCTGTCAGAGGTCAGTCAAGCATTTGCTTGCAGATAAACCAGTGAAGAGGCGAGTATTGAGACCGCATGGCGCAGGGCAGCGGGCTCACACATTTCCGCTCAGATAAATAGGAGGGGCCGAGCAGTGGGCAAGCGGAGAGGACCACCATTGCTCCCTCTCTGACCCTGCCCCCACATACAGCATCACAAACCAGCAACCTGGGTGGCCCCATCCTGGTGAACACCTAAGGCTCTGTTCCTCATACATAACAGGCACAAACAAATAAAAACATGGTTCAAGAACAACTCAGAGCCCCAGATCCGATAAATCCAAGCAGTGAAGAAATAGCCAAACTTTCAGATGCACAGTTCAAAACACTGGTGATCAGGATCCTCACAGAACTGGTTGATTTTAGTCACAAATTAGAGGAACATATGAAGGCTAAATTAATTGAAATGAATGGTAATGCACAGGAAACCAATAGTAATGGAAAGAAAACTGGAACTCAAATCAAGAGAGTAGACCAGAAGGAAGAAAAAAATGACCAAACAGAAAAGAATGAAGAAACAAGAATTCAAAAAAATGAGGAGAGGCTTAGGAACCTCCAGGACATCTTTAAACGTCCCAACATTTGAATTATAGGGGTACCAGAAGGGGAAGATGAACAGTCATGAGTGGAAACCTTATTTGACCAAATAAAAAAAGAGAGCTTCCCAGTTCTGGCAAAGGAAATAGACTTCCAGGAAATCCAGGAAGCTCAGAGAGTCCCAAAGAAGTTGGACCCAAGGAAGAACACACCAAGGAACATCATAATTACATTAGACAAGATTAAAATGAAGGAGAGAATCCTAGAAGCAGCAAGAGATAAGGGGACAGTCACCTACAAAGGAGTTCTCATCATACTGTCAAAGGATTTCTCCAAAGAGACCTTACAGGCAAGAAGGGGCTGGAAAGAGGTATTCCAAGTCATGAAAACCAAAGACCTACAACCAAGATTGCTCTATCCAGCAAAGTTTTCATTTAGAATGGAAGGACAGATAAAGTGCTTCTCAGATAAGACCAAATTCAAGGAGTTCATCATCACCAAGCCCTTAATATATGAAATGTTAAAGGGACTTACCTAAGAAAAAGAAGATAAAAAAGATGAACAGTGAAAGGACAGCAAACTCACAGTTATCAACAACCACACCTAAAACAAAAGCAAATTAAGAGGACAGCTAGATCAGGAGTGAACCATAGAAATGAAGATCACATGGAGGATTAGCAACAGGGGAGTGGGAGAAGGAGAAGGGAGGAGAAGGTACAGAAAATAAGTAGCATAGATGATCGGTAGAAAATAGATAGGGGGAGCGTAAGAATAGTAGGGGAAATACAGAATCTAAAGAACTTGAGACACGTGTTCATGAACTAAAGGGGGGAATGTTGGGGGAGGGGTGTGCAGGGTGGAGCAGAACGAAGGGGGGGAATAAAACAAATGTAATGGCATAATCAATAAAAAAGGCACATTTTTCATTTTCACCAATAAT